AAATATAGGAGGTAATGCAGTTTAGCCACATTTGTATTGATTTGTTTTTTTAATTTATTTACTTTTTTAAATAACTGATTATAAAAAGGGGGAAAATATTGTCTAACAAAAATAACAGAGCATGACCTTTTTATTTGGGTTTTGGTGGTGAATTATTGTTCACAAAGAAAAGCATGGTCATGTTAGTATTAGACACACTGCTCATTCCCCACACAATTAACACACACACTCCATCTCTCATATTTSCATTAAAAGAAATGCAGTAATAAATAGATTTGTTGTTTTGTGTGGTTTTAGGTTCAGGGTGCAGCGAAGCGTTTCTCCTCCTGCAGGTTCCAGTCTGAGGGAAACAGTTTGAGAAGTAAACTAAAATAATTCAATATTATGATAAACAGAATCACAAGCAGCACTCAGATCCAGAACCACAAATACTTTTTATTAGAATCAGAGTTTATAACTGATGAATCTCTAAAACTAAGCATGAATTACTTGATGATTACATAATGAATAATGAATAAAATTGCATTCAAAAGAAGGAAATAAGCATATGAAGACTTTAGAAACAGTTATAATCAGAGTTTATGGGGGAAAATGAAAGTCAGTGAACTGATTAAAGATAAAATCACAGCTGTTTTTCTTTTTTCTTTTTTTAACTAATTTGTAAATCAAACTTTTGATACTCTGACCAGTTTTGAAACAAAATCATAACATTCAAAAACAACTTATTGATTATTAAAATTTTCAGAATTAATCATTAGTAAAAGTTGTGTTTATCTGTTCAATTTTATTCATCTGAAGTATTGTCTTAGAATTATTCTTCATGAAATTCAGTTCCGTTACAATTATAAGACAAATAGGGGGTGAACACTTTTGCAACCCATTGTACTAACTTTCTGATTTATAAAGGTTTCAACAGAAAAAAATWAATGAAATAAAATGAGCAGGCAGGAGGACAATTGTTTAATTTTCTGCAGAAACCAATTCAAACAAGAAGCATTTGGAGAGTGAACACCTCCACCAAGACCCTCCAAATGAGAGTGTGCAGCTGCTGAGCGGTGATTAATGGAACAAAGTTCTGCAGGATGCTGATTGGCTGTCACAGTATAACATCATCAATAAAAATAGATCTACCAAAGTAAGTCCAGAACCAGGTCCACTGCTGCAGTAACTTTGTGAATGGACTTTTCAGTTAACACAAAGAAAACTCAGTTTTGTTGAACATGAATATTTGATTCTGTTGGCTCGGGATCCATTGTTGAGGTTACAGTAGTTGTTCCTCTTCTGGTTGTTCTTCTGATTGTTCTTCTGATTGTTCCTCTTCTGGTTGTTCTTCTGATTGTTCTTCTGATTGTTCCTCTTCTGGTTGTTCTTCTGATTGTTCTTCTGATTGTTCCTCTACTGGTTGTTCTTCTGGTTGTTCTTCTGGTTGTTCTTCTGGTTGTTCCTCTTCTGGTTGTTCCTCTGGTGGTTGGTTCACGTTTCTCCCCATCCTCTCATTTCTCAGTTTTTGTTGTTCTCTAGAAAGTTTTGGTTTTTCAGAGTTTTTAATAATCTCGTCAGCAGCATTGAGGCATTCTTTTGGGTTTTCATTACAGTGTATTTTTTCAATAAATATTTCTTTCAGTTTGTCTGTTGCTGCCTTTTTTAGAATGTCTTCCATTACTCTTTCTTTCTCTTTTAAAATCAGTTGATAATAAGCAACATCTCTATTATCACATGTGCTACACCAACTGCCCCGTCTGCCACAACAACCGCAACAGCAGCAGTTCAGCCAGTCGATTGATGAGAATACAGCCGCCAGAAACAGAATACCCAGGAGTACACCAAAGCCAATGCACTGAAGAGGAAACAGCAGATTAACGTTTAATGTTGACATTATTGTTTTAATACACAAAGTTAATATTCAGAATATGTTGTATATCAGTCACGATTTCAGCTGTTAATAATGTTACAAACACTCACCCTTGATGTATTTTTCAGATCAGCAATGATTGTCCGTTCCTCAACTGTCAGATTGGTTTGGTTTTTGCAGGCTAACTCACTATTCCAGCAAACATACCAATCTCCATCCATGCACAAGGAGACAACCCACAGGACCCCAATGAGAAGGGCTTTGAAAATCGAGCTGAGAATAACTCCCAAAAATACACAGCGATTTGTTTCTGTTGAGCATGTATATGACCACGCTCTCTGAAAGGCTTTATCCGTCCAGAGCATTAAGAAAAATATGATCGCCCATGGCAGGATCATGTAAGAAACACAGTCACGATTTTTGTGTTTGCAGTTGCAGGTCAAATCTTCACCAAGTAAGATGTTGTAGGTAAAACTTCCAACAATGGTGAGAAAGATGCTGACTTTCCTAAATGGGAATGTATTCAAGAAGTCCTTCATCTTCAGTTGTCAGTCAGTGTCTGCTGAGTTCTGAAGACAAACTGAACCTGTATCAGCATGACAGCAGGAACTTCCTGGTTTGAAAAATTGAACCTATGCAGAGGATGAACTGCAAACTTACTCTGATTTTGTTGTTGTTTTATACAGTTTTTAATGTACATTGTGTTACAAATGTATTTACTGCATTTGGAAATTTATAAGACCTGAATTCAGAACAAAAGTGTTTTTTTTATTTTTTTATTTTTTTTATCTTTTTT